AATATAGACTTGCGTTGGGTGGCCTGAGCATCAAGGTCACTTTGACCATAGATGCTGAGTCTGTTGTTTAAGCCCTTGTCCAGCAAGGACTTGAAGAAGCCGACTGCGTGTACCCTTTTAGGACACATCAGTTGGATGCGATTGATGATGGAGCGTGGAATCGCGCACAGCATCCAGTGGTGCGACACCCGCGATATGACCGCGGATGGTCACGCCAAGGGGAGCATCGACAGAGAAATGCTGCTACAAGTCATGGGAGGTATACAGGCCTTCAAACATGATCTGAAGAGTCATACTCCATCTCGGGCGGGCCAGGCATCTAGTTCTGACGCCGCCTGAGGGGTACTTTAAGTACAGAACTGTACAAACAAGGCAACTTGCGAGCGGGTCCACCTTCCTTCTGGCCCGCCCCTTTCTCTGTCCTTGTGTATATTAGCTGATGCGCTTGCTTTATAGGGCCGACGGGCTCGCGCTTCGTCTCCCTCCCCCCCCCGACTCTAAAGCGAGCTGAGGGACGTAAGGAGCGGAAGCGAGCGTGCGCCCGCGGCCGCGTCGGCTCAAGCGGCCCGCCGCCCAAATATGATTGTGCCTCACCGCGAGGCACACAATCGCTATCGAGACCAAAAGGATCTTCCTATTGCTTAAGACGGCACATCCTCTCCTACTGGGACTATCGCTGCTACGGTACAGCAGGGCGGGAGCTTGGCTTCGCCTAAGGCGAAGCTGCTGGCTGGGCCTCCCAGCCCCCTTCAAACTTCTTGGCCCGTCTTGGGGCCCTCTTCGGGCCGTCTTGAGGCCGTCATGGGGCCATCTTGGATGCCTCTTGGGCGATCTTAGGGCGACCTTGGGGGCCTTTTGGGCCGTCATGGGCCGTCGGAGAGCCGAAAAGACGCAAATGCCACAATCCGTCAAAAACCTAAGGACAATCAGTGCTTGTCGCCTCTTCGGGCCTTCCTGGAGGACCTCTGCGGGGCCTCTTGAACCGTCTTGGAGGCCTTTTGGGAGCCTCTGGGGCCGTTCTGGGCCATCTTGAGGTCATTTTAGGCCGTTTTGGGTGCATCGTTGGCCGTCTTGGAGGCATCTTGGGGCCATCTTAGCCGTCTTGGAGGCCATCTTGGCCGTCCTGGATGCATCTTGGAGACCATTTTGGGCCGTCTTGGAACCGTCAGGAGCAGGGAAAACCGTTGCAACCAGGTTTTGAGATCCTTCCCGGGACCCCGGCGGGACGCGTCGGAGCCCCAGGGTTTTTTTGGGGGGCAAAAGAACCAAAACCAAAACCGACAGGATCTAGCTCGCCAGGCACCCCTTTGGTAACATAAAAGGGGGCGGCGGATCGAAGACGCCTACGGCGAATCACCGCCGCCCCCTGCCTTTTTGGAAGCGCCTATGTGGCCGAACGTTGAGGCCAGACCTGCCAAGCTATCGGACCACGTGTTCCCCGAATCGGTTTGGAAAGCCTTCGGGGAACACGTGGGCATCTTGAAGGTCATCTTGGCCGTCTTGGAGGCCTCTTGGGCAAGCTTTGGGCGATCTTTGGGGCTTTTTGGGCCGTCTCGGGCCAGCTTCGAGCCAACTTCGGCCATCTTGGTGGGTTCCTGGCACGTCTGAAGCCGTCGGAAGCCGTTTGGGGGGCCTCTATGGGCCGACTTGGGGCCCGCTTGGAATGCTCCAGGGCCGTCTTGGAGGCCATCTTGGGCGTCTGGGAGGCCATCTTGGGCGTGTTGGAGGCCTCTTGGGCCCTCTTGGGGCCCTCTAGGGGCCATCTTGGAGGCCACTTGGGCCATCATGGGGCTCTCTTGGGGGCCTCTTGGGCGATCTTGGGGGCTTCTTGGGCCGTCTTGAGCCGTCGGAGAGCCGAAAAGGCGCAAATGCCAGAATCCTTCAAAAACCAAGGAAAATCAATGATTTTGGCCTCTTCGGACTCTCCTGGAGGACCTCTTGGAGGCCTCTTGGGCCGTCTGGGAGGCCTCTGGGGGGCCTCTTGGGCCGTCTTGGGCCGTCTTGGACTCTCTTGGGCCGTTTTGGAGGCCGTCTTGGACCATCTCGGGCGGACTTGGAGGCCATCTTGGGCCATCTTCGCGATTTTTTGAGGATGTCCCGAGCGAAACGGCCGTTTTTGGGCATTGACAGACGCATTTTGGGAAATTTGCGGGTGGCCGGCGGGACGGGCCGAAGCCCACTGGGGAGTTCTTTTAGAAAAAGAACCAAAACCAAAACCTGAATCATCCAGCACGCCGTGCACCCCTGCAAGCAGGGGGCGGCGGATCGAAGACGCCTACGGCGAATCACCGCCGCCCCCTGCCTTTTTGGAAGCGCCTATGTGGCCGAACGTTGAGGCCAGACCTGCCAAGCTATCGGACCATGTGTTCCCCGAATCGGTTTGGAAAGCCTTCGGGGAACACGTGGGCATCTTGAAGGTCATCTTGGCCGTCGTGGAGGCCTTTTGCCGGCCTTTTGGGCCGTCTTAGACCATCTTGAGGCCATATTGGACCGTCTTGGGTGCATCTTGGAGCCATCTTACCCGTCTTGGAGGCCATCTTGGCCGTCTTGGAGGGAGGCCATCTTGGGCCATCTTGGCCGTCTTGGAGGCCATCTTGGGCGTCTTGGAGGCCTCTTGGGCCGTCTTGAGGCCCTCTTGGGGCCTTCTTGGGGCCTCTTGGGCCGTCATGGGGCCATCTTGGAGGCCTCTTGGGTGCTGTTGGGGCGATGTTGGGGACCTCTTGGGCCGTCTTGGGCCGTCGGAGAGCTGAAAAGAAGAACATGCCAAAATCCTTGAAAAACCTAAGGAAAATCAATGATTTTAACCTATTCGGGCCTTCCTGGAGGGCGTCTTGGAGGGCTCTTGGGCCGTCTTGGAGGCCTTTTGCGGGCCTTTTGGGCCGTCTTAGACCATCTTGAGGCCATCTTGGGCCGTCTTGGGTGCATCTTGGAGCCATCTTACCCGTCTTGGAGGCCATCTTGGCCGTCTTGGAAGCATCTTGGAGGCCATCTTGGGCCATCTTGGCCGTCTTGGAGGCCATCTTGGGCCAAGTTGGGGCAACAAAGGCATTGACAGATGGATTTTCGGAAACTTGCGGGTGGCCGGCGGGACGGGCCGAAGCCCACTGGGGAGTTCTTTTAGAAAAAGAACCAAAACCAAAACCTGAAACATCCAGCACGCCGTGCACCCCTGTGGCAAGACCACAGGGGGCGGCGGATCGAAGACGCCTACGGCGAATCACCGCCGCCCCCTGCCTTTTTGGAAGCGCCTATGTGGCCGAACGTTGAGGCCAGACCTGCCAAGCTATCGGACCACGTGTTCCCCGAATCGGTTTGGAAAGCCTTCGGGGAACACGTGGGCATCTTGAAGGTCATCTTGGCCGTCTTGGAGGCCTCTTGGGCAAGCTTTGGGCGATCTTTGGGGCTTTTTGGGCCGTCTCGGGCCAGCTTCGAGCCAACTTCGGCCATCTTGGTGGGTTCCTGGCACGTCTGAAGCCGTCGGAAGCCGTTTGGGGGGCCTCTATGGGCCGACTTGGGGCCCGCTTGGAATGCTCCAGGGCCGTCTTGGAGGCCATCTTGGGCGTCTGGGAGGCCATCTTGGGCGTGTTGGAGGCCTCTTGGGCCCTCTTGGGGCCCTCTAGGGGCCATCTTGGAGGCCACTTGGGCCATCATGGGGCTCTCTTGGGGGCCTCTTGGGCGATCTTGGGGGCTTCTTGGGCCGTCTCGAGCCGTCGGAGAGCCGAAAAGGCGCAAATGCCAGAATCCTTCAAAAACCAAGGAAAAATCAATGATTTTGGCCTCTTCGGACTCTCCTGGAGGACCTCTTGGAGGCCTCTTGGGCCGTCTGGGAGGCCTCTGGGGGGCCTCTTGGGCCGTCTTGGGCCGTCTTGGACTCTCTTGGGCCGTTTTGGAGGCCGTCTTGGACCATCTCGGGCGGACTTGGAGGCCATCTTGGGCCATCTTCGCGATTTGTTGAGGATGTCCCGAGCGAAACGGCCGTTTTTTGGAGGATCTGTTTCCGGATTGAGGTCCTTTCGGCTTCCTCCCGGGACCCCGGCGGGACGGGCCGGAGCCCACTGGAGAGTTCTTTTAGAAAAAGAACCAAAACCAAAACCAGCTCATCCAGCACGCCGTGCACCCCTGCAAGCAGGGGGCGGCGGATCTAGCGGCCTTCGGCCCATCCCGCCACCGTGCTCTGGTTGTGGGTTAGCGGCCTCTTGGATGTTCGTTTGGATATCGTGGGAGGCCTTTCGGGGGCCTCGAGGGGGCAGTTGTGAAGCCTCTTAGGGGCCTTTTGGGAGCCTTGGGGTCTCTTTTTGGGCCTCTCTGGGGGGCTCGTGAAGCCTCTGAGGGGCCTCCTGGGCTCTCTTGGGGGTCTTTTGGGGCCTCCTGGGGAGCTTCTGGCGCGGAATGGCGCCCCAGGGCGTAGCCACCGTTTCTTCCATGGCGGTGCTTGGGGGGTGTGCTTCGGACAACCCCAAGGTAGCCCCAGGTGGCCCAAAGTTGTTTCCAAGACGGTCCAAGAGGTCTTCTAAACGGGCCAAAAGCGTTCCAAGATGCCGAAGATGGCTTGAAGACGGCCCAAAAGGCCCCCAATACGCCCCAAGAGTGCCCCAAAAGGATTTCCAAGCGGCAACCATTAACGCAACTCCGTGGGGAAAACGTATATTTTTGGACATTCGCAATTTCCCTCTTAACAGTGTCGAAGACGGCCCATGATACCCCTAAGATTGGCCTAAGAGGCCCCCAATGGGGGGATTTCAGGCGGCCCAAGAGGCCCCCAGGACGGCCCCAGAGGCGCCCGACACGGCCCCAAAGGGCACCAAGATGGCCCCATGAGGGGCCCAAGAAGGGCCCGAGAGGGGGACCTCGAGCTGATTTTCCGAGCCCTACACACCATGAGGAACCGCGAAGCCGCAAGCAGTCCTGCAGGAGCACCCAAGCCGAAGGCAAGCGAGTGGGCCATGCCCCGCCTTAGACTCTGGGGCTGAATACCACCGCCCCGCCCCGCCCAACCGGAGATGACTTGGACTGTTCACCCCCTCCTCCCCCTCTTGCCCGCATGCCCCCAGCGAAGCCGCTTACACAGCACCGGCCGATTATCGCGCGCGTGGGCAGCAACTGAGAGCTTACTTCGCAAGATGGCGCATCTTTCGGACCGTACGTGTCTGCGCTTCCTGCTGAGGCGTGCCTTGTAGGGCTGCGCGTCTGATTTTTTCCGCAGGTGGGGTATCCCAAACCCAAGCGGAACTCAATGATCTACTTATTTTAATGATCTCGGCGCCTCTGAGCGATCAGTCGAGCTTCGCATAAATATTCCAAGATGGCTCCAAGAGAACCCCCTCAAGGGCCCTGAGCGGCGATAGTGCCTTCATTCTTCCAGGGAAAAGTAGATGTTTGGCACATTCATTGTTTGTCCCACCAGCGTCTCGGGCGCCCCCAAGAGCGCCCCAAGGCCGCTGCAGAGCCCCCGAAGGGCCCAAGAAGCACAGGATGGCCCCTAAGACGGCCCGATGGCCTCCGAAGAGGAGGAAGAGGAGGAGGAGGGGGGGGGTGATGATGATGATGATGATGATGATGATGATGATGATGATGCTGATGATGATGATGATGATGATGATTGATGGGTGATGATTGATGGGTGATGATTGATGATGATGATGATGATGATGATGATGATGATGATGATGATGATGATGATGATGATGATGATGATGATGATGATGATGATGATGATGATGATGATGATGATGATGATGATGATGATGATGATGATGATGATGATGATGATGATGATGATGATGATGATGATGATGATGATGATGATGATGATGATGATGATGATGATGATGATGATGATGATGATGATGATGATGATGATGATGATGATGATGATGATGATGACGCTGACGCTGATGCTGATGCGGATGCTGATGCTGATGCTGATGCTGATGCTGATGCTGATGCTGATGCTGAGGAGGAGGAGGAGGAGGAGGAGGAAGAGGAGGAGGAGGAGGAGGAGGAGGAGGAGGAGGAGGAGGAGTTGGAGGAGGAGGATGAGGAGGAGGAGGGGTCCACTAGCGCTCCATGAGGGCCCTGGGAGGCCCCGAGCGCCGCCCGAGCCAAGCTGGCCCCCGGAGCATTTCAGCGGTTCCCAAGAGGCCGCCAGAGCCCCCCAAGAAGCCCGCAAGAGGCCCCCAGTTGGCGCCCAAGCGGGCCCCCAGGGAGTCCCCCGAGCGGCCCCCGCATAGATATTTCTTGCACGCCTCAAGTCGAGGACCCCTCCATTCCAGAAGTTATGGTATCTATTCACGAAGAATGCATTGCAGCATCTGTGAGTGGCCGCGCTCCGTAACTATTTAAGCTCGAGAGCTTGTGCTAATTGTGGCTACCCTCGGCATCCCTCTGGCGGCCCATGCAGGCGGGGGCACTGGCGGAGTTCCTCACGACCGAGGCGCTGCGCTGGCCGGGGCTCTCTTCGCTTTTCCTGGCGAGCCGCTGCCCCGAGGTGCCGCCGTGCCCCGCGGCGCCGCCCTGCCCAGAGTTCCCCGAACTCCCGGCCTGCCCGGCCTGCCCGGGGGCGCCGCCCGTCCCCCCGACGAAGGCCGCGGCGCCCGCCGCGGGCTGGTGGGCCGAGGCCGCCTTGGCGGGCTTCGGCGCCGGGGTGCCGGCGTGCGCGCTCATCCTCTGGGCGTGGGGCTGGAGCCGACCGCGGCAAGCGGAGCCTGGCTTCGTGGGCGAGGCCGCCCCAGCCGTCGGCCGTGCGACGCCCGGCGGCGATGGCGGCAGCGGGCGCAGTGGTGGCGCTGCAGCCGCAGCTGATCCAGGAGTGGTTCTTCGTGCTCTACGCGGTGCCGGGGCCCCCGGTGTACCACCAGCGCCAGGTGATACGGTGCCGGCGCGCAGTGTGCTCGGCGATTGATCTCGGGGTGTTTCTGGTCGGGACGCCCGACCTCGACGTGTACGAGGAGGACAACCGCCCAGGCTCGCTGGGCCGCGACATCGTTCAGGTGACTTTTGGTGCGTCCCGCTGGCCGCCGCCGCCTGCCGTCCCGAGGCCGCAGGTGTACCGGTTCCGCGACGACCTCTCGAGCCTCGAAATGGCGGCCATGCGTGGCGCGGCTCGGTACTCGTCCGCGGGCCCCTTGGGGGCCTCTGAACCCACTCTTTCGCCTTGCAGGGGCAAAGAGCATCTCGCCCTGTGGAGGGACGGCAGCGACAACGACGGCGGCGGCGACGGCTACGATCGACGTTGCTCGACGACGTTCGTCGCTCGACAACGCCCGATGACGTCCGAAGGCGCTCGAATACGCGCGACGACTTTCGAAGACGTTCGACGATGCTCGACGACGTTCGACGACATTTCAAGACGCTCGACGGCTATCTGTGTAAGTCAACGTTCGAGAATTTGGCGGCGCTCCAGACGTTCGCCGACGTTCGAAACTCCGGGACGTTCACGTTCCACGATTCTGAACGATGCTCAGCGACGCTCGTCTGGGCTCGGCGACGCTCGACATGATCCTTGCGCACGCGCGATTTGCGACAGTCACGTGGCTCTTTTGGGCGTCGGCCGGCCCGCTCAGTGACCTGGGTGGATGACCACGACGACGACGACGACGACAATGACGACGACGATGACGACGACGAAGGCGGCGGCTACGACGACGAGGACGACGACGATGACGACGTCGACGACGACAATGACGACGTCGACGACGACGACGACCACGACGACGACAATGACGACCACGGCGGCGACGTCGACAACGACTTCGGCGGCGGCGGCGATGGCGCGCCCCGAGCGGCGGCCCGAGAGGACGCGGCGCGGCGCAGCATGCCCGCGGAGCTGTTCGCCATCCGCGGGGGCGCCGCCGACGTGGGGCCCGCGCTGCTGGAGGTGGGGTGGCCGCCGCCCGCCCCGGTGGAGGGGGTGCGGCGCCCACCGCGGTCGGGGACCTCTCGGGCAGAGTGCAGCGGGGACCGCGCGTCTCAAAGCCCGCGCTGGCGCGCGGGTACTTCAGTGCGGGCCGGTGGTTCGGGCAGGCGTGGTATGATGATGACGTCGGCAACGGCGACAATGATTACGATAAGAGCATGGTGGTGGCGAGGTGACGGTGACGGCGGCATGGCCCAAGGCGGCGCCGATGTTGGTGACGACGGCGCTCATAATGTACACGATGTACGGTCAATGGCTTTGTTGGCATGAACGCACATGGACCCTCGGGCATACATATTGGAAACGATCGTGACATCGATAGTTAAGGCGATAGTGAGATCGATGGAGCGAGACCCTGGTTCGGGACGTCCGCCGTCGCGGGACCCCACTTCGGCCACGCGCCCAGGGACGATGAAAGATTACTCGGCCCCCTCACTCTGACGATCTCTTGTGATGAACTTTCGCTTAGCGTGTCGCGCCGCCAGTTCTGGCCCACTACGCGTCAGCGCGACACGGTATCCACAACCCCACTGCCAAGCGTCAGTGTCCCGAGCCTTTCTTGGCCTCCCGCCCAGCGGAGCGGAGCGGAACGCCACCTTATCCGCTCGCAGGGCATAGCGTGTCGCCAGGATCGCCGTCGCCACACGCTAAGAACAAGAGCGAACGTTCCCAACCGTACACTTGTGGGGGGGTCAGAGGTTGGCAGGAAAGTGGCCCGCTGATGGCCCCTAAATTTAACCTGCGTCGGTGCCCAGGAGCATGCAGGAATATATGGGAAGTGGAGGGGGACATGCAAATACAGAATTCGCAAACATACAGGGAATCCTGGAGTTTGTGTCTATGTATGTGTGTCCCCCTGGGCCCCTTTACGAACTGCCACTGGGGGGTCAAAAGGCGCACGAAAGTTGCACGCGTCGGTGCCCCACGTGGATTGTCTCTCCTCTCACGCGCACCCGAGACTCGCCCACTCGGACGCTGCGCGGGGAGGGGCCTTTCGCCCAGAGTGGCTCTAAAGGTGCCGGCCCGCAGAAGCGCGGCCACTGCCTGACTCCGTGGAGGAGAAAAGGATGCCCGTACCGCTGCTCGCCTTGGAAAACCCTCGTCGCCACGGTTGGGGTCGCTTCGAAACTCGGTGGAGCGTTTCAGAGAAATGAGGCCGTCTTCACAGACATTGGCGCGTTCGCTGGCCGCGTACGGTCGCGGGTAGGCGCCCCCGTTTTCCAGTGTAGGGGGCATCCCGGCGTATTCAACTTTCGTTTACACCGCTGCACTGTCACACCGTTGGCCGCAGCGGAGTAGGGTTACCGCTACATCATGGCACCGTTCGCCGCAACGGTGTAGCGCCACACCGCTAAGCCGTTACACCGTTAGCCACAACGGTGTAGCGCTGCACCGTTACACCGTAACACCGTCTGCCGCAATGGAGTATGGCGCGTCCCACATGTGGCCAGCCCCTCGAGATATCCCCAAGGTTATTTCAGTCGCCAATTGACGGAACCTACGATCCATTTGATCAAAAAGATAATTTCTAGGTCCCTTCAGTCGCTGACTGGACCACGCAACGCGCCAAAATAATGGGAAGTGGGTGTCTGGACGGCTGTGGAAATTGTTTTGTTCCGTTGCAGTTAACGGTGTAGCGCTGTAGCGGTGTACCGTTGCACCCTTAGTCCGCAACCCAGTGTAGCGGTGTAACGATGTAGCGGTGTAGCGGCGCATTCTCAATACCAAGGTTGCAAAGGGTTAGGGCTACATGTGGCGCGGGTCGCCTAACGACGTATACATCCGTTGTTGTCGGGACCGCCAGGGGCTACTTGCTGCCAGACGATGGCAGACGATAGCTGACAAATCAGACGATTGTAGACGATAGGGTAAGCTAGGGGCCGCGAGGAACCGATGCAGGCGTTTGCAGACTATAGCAGACAATTTGACCAGCTAGGGGCCGCCAGGGATGGCTATCCCCGCTGATCGTCTGCAGCAGACCATGGCAGACAATCTGATCAGCTAGTAGCACAGGAACCGCTGCCGCCGATTGCATACGATGGAAGTCCATGGGTGTGGGAGCGAGCCCGAGGGAACGACGGGCTCCCTCCTCCGTTTTTTTCCTCCCTCCCCCTCTCTGTCAAAGTGCCCCCTGGTCTCTGTCCTTTTCTTCCTCACCCTCCTGCTGCTGTTGCTGCTCCTCCTCATCATCCTCATCCTCATCCTATGCCTTCGTCGCCCCACCAACTCAGTGCCCGAAGCTGCTTGGTCCCAGGTGTTGATAAGCGCCCGCGCTGCGGGGCACCCCGCCCACCACCGCGCGGGCAGCGGCTCCCGACTACGCCTCCCCCCCCCCTCTCCTCCCTCTCCTCCTCCTCCTCCGCCTCCTCCTCCTCCTCCTTGTCCTCGTCCTTTCCCTCCTGCTGCTGCTCCTCCTCCTCCTCCTCCTCCTCCTCGTCCTCCTCCTCCTCCTGCTGGCTTCATCACCGAAGACCACCTCTTCACGACGGCAATGTTGCATGAACAATCCTATTGTTGGCAGTTGCCACTCTGGGTGGCAGCAGTCAGTTTCTAAAAGGCGTTCCAGTGCGCGGACCACAAAAACTTGTGGGATGCTCTACTGCAACAACACACTTCCGAAGCGTACAGCACGATTCACAAGTACAGCGATCAGACGGCCATTGCCCGCACTGATGTCACCAGTCCAAGTTTTGGCTTACAGCGGTGTATGAAGCAGAGAGATCATTTTCAGCTCCTTTCTGCTCAATACGCTGTTGGAGCACAACTTCCGACACATCAAACCCAGTTGGCAACGAAAATATTCGGCATCAAGCTCGGCTTCTCTCAATGATCAAGCATAGCGAACCGACGCCTCGCAGCAGGCGTCCTGCTGTACGCCCCAGACCTCCACCAACTTACATGAATGCTACGCGACTTGAAAAGCAAAGCATCATGCTGTGGACTCGCTGCACCCCGATTAGACAAATATGCTCGCCAACGTCCGGCGGAGGACTGGCAAGACAATCGCGCACATCATCTTAGATGGCGCGCGTATTGACATTCGACACAACGACCACAGTACGAAATACTTGGGCAGAAGGTCGTCGGCCCACGATTTCCGCGACCACGAGCTGAAAAACAAGATCGCCGCGGGATGGTCGACGTTTCACCAACTACGGGGCGAACCTAGCAACAAACAGTTTCCCCTGCACAGCAGGCTCTGGCTCTTCAGTGGCACGATCACACCATGCGTCATGTACGGTTACTCTTCGTGGACACTATTAAGGAGATGCTCAACACGGGACAACGAACGCAACGGAAAACGCTCCGACTGATCATAAGTGCGCCGAGAAGGCGGAATACGCCTGAACAACTTACTCACTGCGTGGAGCTCCCCATATGTGGATCCCAGTAAAGAAATAGTTTGTGTTCAGATCTGTTTATGACCGTATAGCCATATGAGCTATATGTGCATATCATGTTGTAGGATAGTGTCATCACGAGCATCTGTGTATGATAGTCTTGATCTAAGAGCGCGTCCATGTGAGCGACGAGCACACGTGCGCGCAGCCATCTGCGTCATCAGCCATTTCTCCACTCACCCCCCTGGGGTGTAACAAAGACGGCCTTCAACCCAAAACGCCTTACCGTCCTGTGGATCACTTACTGGATCTGCCCCCTGAAGCCAATCCCCCCCCGAAGCCGACTCGGCCCCCGGAGGCCCGAGCGAGGACGCGACAGAGGTGCATGGATGAAACACACAGGAGAGGGAGGGGAGGAGCGAGAGAGAGAGAAAAGGAAACCAGCGCCCTCCAGGGTGCTGATACCAGCGCCCCGCCTGAGACATGCTCCCAATCTGCTCTGAAAGCAAAGGATGTTGAGCCACCAAAACAGCGAACCGCCTGAGACATCCCCACAAAACTGGCCGCGAACGGGCCCGTGTCATACCCCCTGGGGGCTCCCCTTAGGGGTACTGAAACCTGCGCCCCGCCTGAGACACCTTCCAAGTCTGCTCTGACAGCGAAAAGGATGTTGAGCCACAGAACAAGCAAACCGCAAGGACATCCCGACATACTGGCCGCGAACGGGCCCGTGAAAACACCCCAGGCGGTTCCCTGTAATGGTGCTGAAACTAGCGGTCCGCTGGAGACGTCTTCACAAACTGTTATACACGCGGACGATGTTGAGCACGGAAACGTGCAAACCGCCTGAGACTTCTCACCCTCTGGCGGCTCCCCTTAAGGGTGCTGAAACCAGCGCCCCGCCTTAG